TTTTTTTTTTTTAATTTATTTTTTGAGAGAGACAGCATGAACGGGGGAGGGGTTGGGAGAGGAGGAGACACAGAATCCGAAGCAGACTCCAGGCTCTGAGCTGTCAGCACAAAGCCTGACGTGAGGCCCGAACTCACAAATTGTGAGATCATGACCTGAACTGAAGTCAAACGCTTAATTGACTGAGCCACCCAGGTGCCCCTGCCCACCCCCCCAATTTTTAAGATAAAAACCTTCTTTAAAAAAATTTTTTTACATTTATTTTTGAGAGAGAGAGAACGTGAGCAGGGAAGGGTAGGAGAGAGTGGGAGATCCAGAATCCATAGAAGGCTCCAGGCTCAGAGTCTGATGCAGGGCTTGAACTCAAACAGTGAGATCATGACCTGAGCTGAAGTTGGACTAGTAACCAACTGAGCCCCCCAGGTGCCCCCAAAATTCATTCATTATCTTAATCCATCTTTAGTTTTATGCTTAAGGAGTGCTAAGCTTTCTACCTGTGACTACTCGCCGTGAATGTTCTCCACGATCATCTGTATGAGTAGGCCTTATTCCTTCTTCATCATTGATTGTTAGATCATCTGCAGTCATATTTCTAACATCTAGCAGAAGTCTTTAAGTCTCCCTTGGGATTCATCTTGTGTGAAGGTCCAGTAAAAATTTGTTCCACAGGTCTAAAAACTAAACCTTTCCAGGTAGAACTAAGTTGCAATATTTCTAAATCCCAGGGTTCTTAGCAAAGATGAAGGTAAAGTGATAAAAATCATTGACATTTGTGTCCTTGAATTCTAGTTCTAGTCTCTTTCTAGCAAAAGAGCTATAGTGTCACCCTGTTTCTGTCATGCCATCTTCAAATTCTACCCTCTTCCTCTCCCCCCCCAAACCTTTTGCTAAGTTCACACTGACTAGGATTGCACTTAGAATTCTACACTGATACTAATAGTCTAGTTTAATCATTACAAAACTGTTGAATCCCATCAACTGCATTTTATTTTCACCTTGTGGGACACTGTACTTGTTCTAGCTTCTTATAGTCTATGACTTCTTACAGATTTTTTGTGCAATGAGTCTGTGTTTTGGAAGATGTTGTCTGCTAGACTTCGCTCATTTTGTGTTTAGCAGTACAATATGTAGCAGTTCTTTCACCAGTCTGAATATATGCCATGACTGGAGGATGTTGTTTTTCTAAGACAATTTAAGCTTATGCTTACTTGACACTTTTGTGGGTCTCAGGCTCCCCACCCACTAGTGTCCTCCTTTCTGTGGCCAACTCTGCAGATCCAAGCCACCAACCACTTCAATTTAAATGGATGTCAGAAAACCACTGTTTTTGCTGTGTTTTTTTCTCCACATGTAGTGGTTTTCTGATGGACTCTCAATCTGGGTTATGGAGATAAGCAGTTATTTTTCATAATACTTTTCCATCAACATGTGGCACTAATTCCTCTTATTTTAATAGAACCCCAATAATAAGCCTTTGTGGCATTTATTTATTTATTTATTTATTAAGGTTTTTTAAAAAAAAATTATTAATTTTGACAGAGAGCATAAGTGGGATAAGGGCAGAGAGACAGAGAAAGAATCCCAAGCAAGTTCCGTGCTGTCAATGCCAGCCCATCTAGGGGCTCTATCTCATGAACGGTGCGATCATGACCTGAGCCAAAATCAAGGGTCGACACTTAACCGAGTGAGCCACTCAGGCGCTCCTTATGTGGCATTTAGTTTTAAGTTGCCACATCTAGCATTTATGATCATCCGTAGGATAATGCCTCTCTCTTGGATTACTGGCTCACAGTTCCATTCTCTTTCATTCCTGTTCTGAATACCTTGATTGGTTTCCAACAAGATAAGATGAGTAGAAGTCATGAGAAAAAAATAGAGGTAAGTATAGAATCCATTTGTTGAGTCCCCTTTCCATGGAAGAAAGGATATCAATGTTGACTGCTTCGGCTGGAGATGGGAACTAAATTTTGGGGTTTTTTTGTTTTTGTTTTGTTTTTTTCTACCAACTTTTTTGACTATTTTATTTTATTTTCTAATTTTTTTAATATGAAATTTATTGTCAAATTGGTTTCCATACAACACCTAGTGCTCATCACAACAGGTGCCCTCCTCAATGCCTATCACCCACTTTCCCCTCCCCCCCTCCCCCCACACCAACCCTCAGTTTGTTCTCAGTATTTAAGAGTCTCTTATGGTTTGCCTCCCTCCTTCTCCATAACTTTTTTCCCCTCCTTCTCCTCCTCTGGTCTTCTGTTGAGTTTCTCAGGATCCACATATGAGGGAAAACATATGGTATCTGTCTTTCTCTGCCTGACTTATTTCACCTAGCATAACACTCTCCAGTTCCATCCATGTTGCTACAAATGGCCAGATTTCATTTTTTCTCATTGCCAAGTAGTATCCCATTGTATATTTAAACCACATCTTCTTAATCCATTTGTCAGTTGATGGACATTTAGGCTCTTTCCATGATTTGGCCATGGGAACTAAGTTTTGAACAAAGTCCATGCAGAGTACTGTTCTATATATGCTGAGAACTATATCCTACCCTCAGGGCTTACACTCTAATTATAAGACAGGCACACAAAGTACATCGGAGTTCTAAAATAATTTTCAACGTACAGTGCACTTATAGGATTGTGTTATAGCAGTAACAAAATACTGAGTGCATATGGGTACAATTATTATCCCTATTTTAGAGATGAGGAAACAGAGGCTAGGTAACTTGGTATTGGTGGTTTGCTGAAGCATATTCATTTTTCTGTTTCCAAAATAAAAACAAGTGAGCAACAACTTGTTTTTCCAAAGACAGGAAAATGGAAGACTCATGTCTGCCTACCTCCCTGGAAGAGGGAAGAGGCAGACCTCACTCAGTGTAAGTGACAAGAAACTTATTATATGTGTTAGCCAACCCTCCCTAGTTCGACAAGGGTTATGTGAAAGAAAATCACAGCTCTGAATCCTTTGGGAAGCACAATGTGCTCGGAGAAACAGTACTGCTCTCAGGGGAAACATGAGGCTCCTTGAGAGGCCAACTTGTACTGAAGTCTAATTCTGTCACTGTTGGCCATGTGGGCATGTAACACTTTAACCTCAGTTTCTTCATGTACATAACGGGGGTGATGGGCCTATCATATGGGGGTATTGGGAGGATTAAATAAGGACTAAATAAAATGATGTAAAATGCTTTAGTGGCAACCCCCACAACAAGGGCTACCATTTCTCTGTACTCTGTGCAGAGTGCCTGTTAAGTAGGAAGTGTTTAATTAATGGAGCAATTTATACTTATTATTACTATTACTTAGCTAATCTACCCTATCCTATTGCTTTGTAATTCACCATTTTCTCTTTCTCCAGCCAGGCTATAAGCCCCAGATACTTCCCTGTTATCTCTCCTGACCTAAGTCCTCAATTCTGCTGTTTCCTAACACCAGATCATCAGTGTCCCCACAGTAGTTTGAAAACATTTCAAATCCAACTGGTTTTGTCCTGGTGTTCTCTCAAAATAAAACAAGGAAACAAACAAAACAAAAAAAACAAAACAAAAAAAACAAAAATAGTGCTCCAAATTTTATCTTTTGGTTTAAAAAAAATTTTTTTAATGTTCATTCATTTTTGAGAGACAGAGCATGAGTGGGGTAGTGGCAGAGAGAGAGGGAGATACAGAATATGAAGCAGGCTCCAGGCTCTGAGCTGTCAGCACAGAGCACATCGTGGGGCTCGAACTCACAAACTGCAAGATCATGACCTGAGTCAAAGTTGGACGCTTAACCCAATGAGCCACCCATCACCCCTAGCTTTTAGAAGTTTTTTAAATTTAGAAATTTACCTTATTCTTACAACTTGTACTTGTAGAGTGTTATCTCAGTATTATGGGATGATTAGAATGGATGAACACCCAAACCACTGGGTCTTCTACAGGATTAAGGGATGGTGTAATTTTGCAAAATAGAGGAAATAATCACTTTGAATGGGATTTAAAAACCTATTACTCACACCTATTACTCGCTTCTAGCTGCCACATGCATAGGGGCATGGCAAAGCTCACCTAAGAATAAAGGACTATTGCCACACTCAAAGGGCATAGTTCCTTTGGGGTAATATCATCACTGATTATATATGTGGTATGGACAAATTCTGGTTTTAGGTGTAATAATTGTAATTAATGTTATTAAAAATTGTTCTCCTTGGGGTGCCTGGGTGGCGCAGTCAGTTAAGCGTCCGACTTCAGCCAGGTCACGATCTCGCGGTCCGTGAGTTCGAGCCCCGCATCCGGCTCTGGGCTGATGGCTCAGAGCCTGGAGCCTGTTTCCAATTCTGTGTCTCCCTCTCTCTCTGCCCCTCCCCCATTCATGCTCTGTCTCTCTCTGTCCCAAAAATAAATAAACGTTGAAAAAAAAAAATTGTTCTCCTTGAAAGATACACACTGACATTTGAATTGATAAAATGATGTGATACTTGAGTTTCGCTTCAAAACAATCTAGTTCAGGAGGTGTCTAGTTGACTCAGTAGGTAGAGCATGCAACTCTTGATCTCTGGGCTGTGAGTTCAAGCCCCTTGTTGGGTGTGGAGCCCACCTAATAAAAATAATCTAGTTCAGAGTGAGGGGGTTAGTGTGGGATATGGTTGGAAAAAGATTGACCATACCCAAGAATTGTTAAAGCTGGATAATACGTATATGGCAGCTCCTTATATTCTACTATTTTTGTGTGATTTTTGAAATTTTCTGTAATAGAATTCATAGATACATGGTACTGAGCGAGGTTTGAAGGCCCATTTCTGAGTAGGAGTAGATGAGCTTTAGTACACGGACTGAGTGCCATTCTGTGGTCATTCAAGAGCTTTTATGTTGTGCAGAGATCCTAGGTGAGCTTTCCATGGTGTCTGGTAGTGCCTTTTTGTCAAATGGAGAACATGCAGTCCCTGCCCAGTGAATAGTGAATGAGTCAATGAAAGCAAAGAGGCCCAAAGCCCTGACCCTTCTCTTCTTGTCTTTGCAGCGGAGCCCAGGGGGAATATGCTGGGTTGGCCACTATCCGAGCTTACCTCGAGGGGAAAGGAGAGGGACACAGGACAGTAAGTATGAGCAGGTGGTGCTTGCCCACCATCAGGGGGCAGTGGGTCCAGCTCTCAGAGCCCCTTTTCTTTTGTGGTGCACTCCTTCTAAGCCTTATTGGAAGCAGCTAGGGAACATATAATCAAGAAACAGATTTCCCTGAACTGGCCATTACGATCCTTGCCCCGGAGACACTTCCATGGACCATTTTGAGGGAAAACATTTGAAAATAAAGGTTTTTGTTCAAGCCCAGTCTGTAAAAGTCAGCCAGTTGGCCATGGAACTGCTTTCCACAGGTTGCAAAGGATGGAAGGGGCAGGAATGTTACCCTTCCAGGTCTCTTCTCCCTTGTGTAGTCCTGGCCCTACACCTGGACAAAGGGTAGGGACTTGCCTTTAATTCTTCTGTAACCCCTACTGTGACTAGACACAGTTCTGATCATATGTATGCTCAAAAAATGTTTATTGAGGGGCACCTGGCTGGCTCAGTCAGTAGAGCACGCAACTCTTTATCTCAGGATCATGAGTTTGAGACCCACGTTGGCTGTAGAGATTACTTAAAAAAAATTTTTTTTTATAAAATATTTATTGAATAAGTAAATTCCCTATTGAGGATTGTCATCTCTAAGCAGCAAAAGAAGATGGTGGAGCAGAGTTCATGGTTCTGCTTCAGTTTTTGCTTTCAGTATGGGAGTCTAGTCTCCAGGGTCCAAACTGCTTGTGGAGCCTGTTTAGGGACCCACAGGTGCTAATGGGCTTGACTGGACTCCACTAATCTCCAGGTAGCAGTGCCTCTAGCAGTTGATCTGACATAGGCTTCAGAGTGTGGCGAATGAGCCTATTTCTGAGGTCTTCATTTTGGTGTTGACCAACACTGAGCAAGAACTTCCACTGAGTTGTGGAGGTGGAGTTCTTAGAGGGTCGGGAGCAGGATAAAAGTGAATGCCCATCCCAGGAGACTTAGAAAAGGGTGCCAGGCTAGTTCTGGTTGCCCAAGTTAGTGGGAGTGCAGAAGCTGGTGGCCCTATCTCAGTCCATTTCTGGGTATATTAAAACTAGAAGATTATTTGTGGCTAGTTGCCTGTATTTTGCAATGGAGAATCTGAAAGCTGTTATACTTCACTTTCAAAAATGGAGGGAAAAAAGAATTTTCTTTCTCCTCCTGTTTATCCATCCTGATTTCACAAGTATGTTTTCTCAGGCCTTTGTCCTAGTTGGGGAGTAGAACTAATTTTCAAAAATCTTTGAAAAAGAGGACATCATTAATTGAATAATTATTCAATCCTGGTTACATACAAGGCACGGTGTGTGCCAGTCCTGAGTTAGATTAAGTGATAAATCAGATAGACACAGTCCCTGACACTCCAAGTTGGGTTTCCTAGTGGTTTTGAATTCTAAGGAAATGTTAGTTTAGAACTAGAATCATTCCTTGGACCTCAGAGTCTCAGCACTGTCATAGCATCAGAAAGGAAACATTGAAGCTCATGTTGTCCAGGGAAAGAATGGCAGGTGACTGACATTAAAAGTTCCCCCTTCCAGGGGCGCCTGGGTGGCGCAGTCGGTTAAGCGTCCGACTTCAGCCAGGTCACGATCTCGCGGTCCGTGAGTTCGAGCCCCGCGTCAGGCTCTGGGCTGATGGCTCAGAGCCTGGAGCCTGTTTCTGATTCTGTGTCTCCCTCTCTCTCTCTGCCCCTCCCCCATTCATGCTCTGTCTCTCTCTGTCCCAAAAATAAATAAATGTTGAAAAAAAATTTAAAAAAAAAAAAAAAGTTCCCCCTTCTGTTCTTCCTCTGTGGCTTCCATGTATTAAGGTAGCCACTGGAACTCCTTGTTATACTTTCTAACCACTGGGTGTCTGGGGATTCTGGGAAGGGATCCATTTGTTCTGTGTGACCACCTCCATGTTGCCTCCTTTTCCTCATCCTCCTCCTGCCCATGCTTTATAAAGAGATTTTTGAGATCTGTGTTGTAGTGGTCATGCTAAAATCCAGGTTCCATCAAATCTGTGATGCTCCCCACCCCTTATTGTTTCCAGGTCTCCACTCTGACATCAGGAAGTATCTGTGAATGTCCAGGAGTGGGGGACCAAACCAGAAAGGTCAAGCAGAAAGGATGAAAGAACTTTTGATTGGGCCTGGACAGAGTTCTTCTGTGACTGACAGATCCTTTATGGTTCCTTTTCATTCTCTTTGTGTTTTCCAGTCCTCTCTTCTCTGTCTGTCCCCCTGCATGTGATGTTTCTTGTCTGACCATTGTCCACACTGCTATAACCACAGTGTCATTTTTTCATTCTGAAGGACTGCAGGAAGCTAGCCACTGAAGCTGGGGAAGGGCCGAGGCTGGGAGAGACAGGGAAGGCCACCCAGTCCCTGAGCTTGTAGAAATACAGAACTCTTAAGTTTGGAAATGTTGGCATCCTTTCTAGATTAAAGATTTTAATTAAAGCTGACATTTTCAGTTAGAGAAGAAAATGACTTATTACTCAAATAATCAGGGAGGATTTTTCCATATCAGAAGAGTCTCAGACAGCTGTTCCTGCACAATAGACCCTAATGGAATCCAGTAAAATACATCCTTCTTTTTTGAAAAGGAGTGTGGGGAAATTGTATGCTACAGAACCACCCAAGTCCCTGATGGTTCTCTTATTTCAAGCTGTTTTTTGGCAATTATTTTTCACATTTGCTCTTGGGTTAAATTTCAGAGGTTCCTAAAATGCAACAACCAAGTTCTTGATTTACCAGTTTAATTTGGGGGACTATAAATTTGTTTAACAAACACCAGGGATTGTCTTAAACCCTTTGTAATTAACAACTCAATTTGTTAGTACAATATTAACTTAGATTTGCTGAGCAGAGATGTGGTTTTTATACAACAGAAAACATTGACGCCACAGAAAATACCAAAAAACATCCCCCAAAATGTATATGGGAGTATTTTTCTCTTCCTAACTGCCTGAGACAAAGTAGTGGCATTTGGTTTTTAGATTTTCTTAGTGGTAAGAATTTGATTTTCCCTCACAAATGAGTACTCCTCCTTAATCCTTCACTCATTCAGCAAGTGTTGGAGAATGAGTTATGGGTTGGGTTTATACCAGGTACATTGGGGAGTTAGAAAAACAGCATCCATCTAAATGGGCATAAATGCTCCAAAGAGGATTTGTTTTATATAAACTAAAGCATCACATCCATTCCCTTGTGACCGCACAATTTTAAAGTGAGGCAAAACCAACATTAAATAAAATTACAGAAAAAAAATACTAAAGTTTCCTAATTTTACATAGAAAAACAGAACTGTATAATAGCAACATATAAATGAGTCACTGACAAAACCGCTGAGACTTTTTCTGCTGCTCCTTATATCAGGATATGTATTAGTTTTCTGTGGCTGCTGTAACAAATTCTTACAAACTTAATGGCTTGAAAAAACAAAAATTTATCTTCTCAGTTATGGAGTCCAGAAGTCTGAAATTGGTTTCCCTTGGCTAAAGTCAAGGTATTGGTAAGGCAGTCTCCTTTGGGAGGATCCATGAGAGAAAATGTTTCTTTGCCTCTCTGGATGCCTTCTGCATTCCTTAGCTTGGGGCCCCTTCTTGCCATCACTCCATCCTCTTGTTCATCCTTCAAATTTCCTGTCGTTTTTAAAAGTATTTTTTAAATGTTTATTTTTGAGAGAGAGAGAGAAAGAGAGTGTGTGCACGTGCATGCAAGTTGGGAAGGGGCAGGCAGGGTGGAGACAGAGGATCCAGCAGAAAGCCTGATGTGGGGCTCGAATCCATGAACCACGATATCATGACCTGAGCTAAAGTCTGATGCTTAACTGGCCACCCAGGCACCCCCATTCATCATATTTTCTACTTACTTTGTTGTCAAACCTCCACCTGCCTCCCTCTGCTGAGAGTACTGGGGAATGTGTTTAGGGTCCACTGATAATCCAGACAGATTTCAAAATCCTTAATTTCTCATCTCATGAGCCTGAAGTTAATCGCATTTTCAAAGTCCCTTTTGCCATAAGGATACATCCATTGATTCTGAGAATTAGAACATGGGCATTTGAAGGGGTACTCAGCGTACCATAGGATGGTTTGACATTTTTACCTTGAATATATTTATTTCAGCAGAACTTCCCTGGTATGAATTCTTAATTTAGGCCTTTAGCCAATGTTTTATATTCATTAATTTTTTTTTTATTTTTTTTAATTTTTTTTATTTGAGGGGTGCCTGGTGGCTCAGTCGGTTAAGCGTCCAACTTCAGCTCAGGTCATGATCTTGTGGTCTGTGGATTCAAGCCCCACATCGGGCTCTGTGCTGACAGCTAGCTCAGAGCCTGGAGCCTGTTTCAGATTCTGTGTTTCCTTCTATTTCTGCTCTTCCTTGCTTGCACTTTGTCTCTCTCAAAAATAAATACACATTTAAAAAATTTAAAACTTTCTTTTACGCTTAAGTATGGTTGACTGTATTCACTTTTAATGTTTGCCTTTTCCTTTGTGATCAATGTTCTGCCCAGAAGGGATCCTTTTATCCAAAGATCCTTTGGTAAAATAAAAATACCTTATGGGAAAGGACAAGTGTCTCCAGCTTTGGTTCTGAGAAATTAAACTCAATAAAATAGGGGAGCATTCAAACAAGAAAAAGGATTTGAATACAACACTGTATAACCAGCATGAGACAAATAACTGTTCAAAAGAGGCACAAACCTTCTGTCAACAGAAGAGTAACACTTTGCCTCTGGCAAACAGTTGTCTTTGTGTACTCCTGTGCTTTTCTGAAGTAGACACCTTTGCTGTTTTTGAGGAAATACCTGCAGAGCAAAGTTTTCTCTCCATAAGGCCATTTCTGTAATGCCCATCCATTTCTCTTCAAGGGGTTGCAATATTAGTTCTGGGACTTAAAAAAAAAAAAAAAAGGAGGATTATTTTCAGGGTGATCATTGTTTCTCCTTATTGCTTTCTTTTGGTAAAACCTCTTGTGATGCAGTTTCCTGCAGTGCAGCATCATCAGATCTATCAGAGCACGTGTGTTCACTTGTGTTCACATGATTTGTAGGAGGAAATGAAAATGATTTAAATCTAGGAATTCTAAAATTGTACCCACCCTCCACCTTCTGTAAGAATTCAACTTATCTTTAAATGTTAGCTTAGGCTCTAGCTCTTGAATGACCCTCCCTTGACCTCTTCCACTTGAAACAATACCCCCCTTATTCTGAGTTTCTATGGCACCTGTTTATACATTTACCAGCATTGTCAATGTGCCCAGGACAGGTATTGATTGGTTTTCATGCTTGCTGTATGATTCTCATGGCAATTCATTGCACAGAATAAGCATCCAGTAAATGGTGCCATAATTGGTGTGTCAGCATAGGAAGACCTTGGAATTATGTCTACTGTTATCATCTCTCCTGGATTTCAGCAAAGTGAAGCAGAGAACTGAAGCTGTGATGTGGGCAGTTGGGTCCTAGAGTTTAACTTCTAATCTCATGTTCTTATAAGATACTTTCTACATATAACTGAGACAAGGTCAGAATAAGCACTGACCTGTGTTTTGGTGTGCTGAGATAAGGGAGGACAATACTGATTAATATTATAGGAATCTTTAAAAATTGTTTATTCATCGTTTATTCATTTTTGAGAGACAGAGTGCAAATGGTGGAGAGGCAGAGAGAGAGGGGAACACAATCTGAAGTAGGCTTCAGGCTCTGAGCTCTCAGCACAGAGCCTGATGTGGGGCTTGAGCCTACAAACTGTGAGATCATGACCTGAGCCGAAGTAAGATGCTTAACTGACTCAGCCACCCAGGTGTCCCTACAGGAATATTTAAAGAGCGGTATTTGTGGATTCAAACGGAACCTGCCCTTTTGGACATTGTTTTACAATACAGTAATAATGAAATTATAGCAGATTTCAGATGTTATGGTCAGTTTATTTATTTTTTTATTTTTTTTTCAACGTTTATTTATTTTTGGGAGAGAGACAGAGCATGAACGGGGGAGGGGCAGAGAGAGGGAGACACAGAATCTGAAACAGGCTCCAGGCTCCGAGCCATCAGCCCAGAGCCTGACGCGGGGCTCGAACTCAGGGACCGCGAGATCGTGACCTGGCTGAAGTCAGACGCTTAACCGACTGCGCCACCCAGGCGCCCCTGTTATGGTCAATTTAAATAAAGCATGTGGCACCTATTTAATCTGTGCTCCAAGCATGTTGTAGGACTTTTCTCTCATGAATAGCCTGGTGATGATTTTTTCTGCTTCCTTCCTTTCATTCCATTCCTAAGGTTTGCCTCATTCCAAAATCAGCACATGGGACCAATCCTGCAAGTGCCCACATGGCAGGCATGAAGATTCAGCCTGTGGAGGTGGATAAATATGGGAATATCGACACAGCTCACCTCAAGGCCATGGTACTAGTCTTCCGCTAAACAGATGGAAGAGGTCTGGGTTGAGAAGAGGTGGTGGGAAGAAGGGACTGGATAGTTTATAGCAACATTGTCTTTCTTTGCATTCTAATTAAAAGACTGCAGTTTCTCCTGAATGGGTCTGGGGAAAATGGCATAAAATCAGAAAACCTGTCTGTAAGAAAAATAAAAAGCAACAGTCACATTTTTGGTCCAGAATAAAACCGAACATAGTCTACTTTACCTCTTTCTTAACCAGTCAGGGACAAGGTCCTTTAAACTGAAATCCTATTCTCTTAATTCGTGCATATGTAAGAAACTGAATGAATTATTCATGGTCATAGTAAGGCTACTCCTTGTAGGGCCTGCCTGTCTCCTTCTGCCCACCTTCCCCCTTCTTCCCCTATTAATAACCAAACAGGCAGTCACAGTTGTTCTCAATCTTTGTGTTGGGAATTAAAACATACATGTAGATTTTATAAATGTGTGTGACTGTCCCAGCCATTACCTGCTGAATTTGGGGCGGCATTCCACTCCTTTCTGCAACACCAACCCCTCACTCCCAACCTCCCAACCTCCAGGAAGAGGTTGCCTAGCAACTGTATCTGCTTTCCACTGGTGGACTGGAGGCTGCATCTTAAGAGGGAAGGAAATCAGTTGGATAGCAATGTGATTTTGTCAAGGTTATTAGGCATGGAGACAGAAACTTCATGTAACTGCCTTCAAAGGAAGCTGAAAATAGCACTGTTAGTCTCTCCCAACCATCCCCACCTATTCAGCACCCCACAAAGTTTTTACCCACAGATATTCTGGGGCAGTGCTTGTTATTACTAAGTTTCCCCAATATAGGATATGACCTTTAATTTTTTTTTTTTTATTTCCATACGAGCTTGCTCTGAGTCACTGGCCAAAAAAAACCCCAGGAATATGCCTTTTATATGTTTGCTTTCTGTGAAAAGGAAACATGAGGGAGATTTTTTTTTTTTTAAATCAGAGCAGAACACTCCTTGTGGGAATTCTAATTTCAACAGGGAATAAGGGTGGATATGGCAAGATGAGCAGAGAGAGATTAACTGTGAGAATAGACATGTCTATAACGAAAAAGATCTGAAGTAATTATTGAGATGACTAAAACCAAAGGAAAACCTAGGAGAGTTGAGCCCAAAATACCCAACTTCCAAACAGTTTTTTGGTCTTGATCATGGAGACTTAGTTTGAAGGGATTTTGTTGTTTCTTTGGAATGACTTAGGAAAGGAGTAATGGATTTTATTGTCATCATAGTTTGAGACAATTCTAGAAATGAAAAGACCAAAAAAAATCACCTTTCCTAATCCTGTAAGGTAAAAGCAATGGTTTGGGCAACAAATAAACAGTTCCTCTTCTGTCTCCCTCTGCCCTTTTCTATCCCATAGGTGGATAAACACAAGGAGAACCTGGCAGCAATCATGATTACATACCCATCCACCAATGGGGTGTTTGAAGAGAACATTGGTGATGTGTGTGACCTGATCCACCAACATGGAGGACAGGTCTATCTAGATGGGGCAAATATGAATGCACAGGTGAGCAACAGAAGAGGGACTCCCTGAGAAAGTGACAGAAAAATATTATTTTCCTCTGATTTCTTGACAATTGTCTTAAAACATGATACTGAATTCAGAAATGAGGTTGACTTTCTGTATTGCCAACTTCAAGGAAAGTACCACAATTTCACTGAGATCAGATTTGAAGGGAGCAATAGGGGAGGTTGGGGGAGATAAAAAGGTTGACAGGAAGCATGGAATAAACTGAATGTCAGAGCGTTTGATCTCTCTTGGGTGCTACAGCTATGAAGGTCTCCTGACTCCCTACGGAAATTCACACCCATGTTCTAGCCACTGGTGGATATTGATCTCCCATGACAATGGACAAGTCCTTAATCTGGCTTCAATTTCATCAGTGTAAAATAGCTGAATGGTTCTGTCCCTGAAGGGCCAATCCTAACTGTGTTTGTTGGGGGTGGGGTGTAATGTGCACCTCTCTGCAAATGCTGTAGGGGTTCATTGGAGCAGAAGTTTCAGTTTCAGAGTTTTCTTAACTTCTTTGTCATTATTTTGTGATTGTGGGTTGTTTGTTGTTTGTTTGTTGTTTGTTTGCTGTTTGTTGTTTTGTTTTGCTTTACCATTTCAAACTCTTTCTGCTTTTCTTTGCTTCTTTCTGATTCCCTTTGTAAGTGTAGTTGACAGATTGTTTATTGCTAAGAGTTCAGGAATGCACTCTTTATGTTTGGCACTTAATTTATGTTCAAAATTAGCCCTAATGCCTAAGTGGCAGGAAGGCCTGTTGTGACTGGTATTAGGGTGGTCTCAGGAAAACTTCCTTCCTTTCTTCGCCTTGGTTCAGCATCCTATCAGGTAGCCTTCCAGTCTCTTTCATTGGGGTACCCAAAATGCATGATGCTCAAAGCCAACCATGCAGGGGAAGTAGCATTGCTGGTCTGAATGTCATCTGTTTCTGCAGCAAGGAGGTACTTCCCTTTTGCTCATGGTGTTTCCTCTCCTCAAATCCGTATTTTGAAATCTAAATTAGGCTAAATGGTCAATTGCTGTTTCCACAGAAACCATAAGCCAGGCTGCTTATGGGATGTCAGATTTTGAATGTGGAACTCTTCCGGTATTAAGAACATTTCTGTGAACAGTGCTGCCTGCCTTTCCTCTGAGAGGAGAAGCTGCAGCAAATAGCATGGCTGCCTTTCCAGAATATCCTTGCAAGCTCTTGATTTTTGCTTTTGGCTCTTTTCCCTTTATGGTAGGTGGGAATCTGTCGTCCTGGAGATTTTGGGTCTGATGTCTCACACCTAAATCTTCACAAGACCTTCTGCATTCCCCACGGAGGAGGTGGCCCTGGCATGGGGCCCATTGGCGTGTGAGTTCCGGGCTGCTCATTTCAGGATGGTTTTGGAGACTGAGAATGAAAGAATGGCCCCAAGTTTGCTGTTCTTCTCATCGAGGTCTTCAAGTGTCATGGACACCGTCATATCTAGTCCTTCTTTAGGGGCTGGAGAGAAGCAGTGAGAGGGGTGATAACTTAGACTTCCAAGATGTTTTCTCTTTTTTTTTTTTTCTTCTGTCTTTTAAAAAAAGAAATCAGCTGTTGGTTACATTGAAAGTGAATTATCAACAACCAAAGGAACTTATAGTAGAAAAGTGCTTGCCTGGGGCTGGGGAGCAGGGGATGGGTAGGGAGAGGTTGGTAAAGGGTACAAACTTTCAGCCGTAGATGTTTGACCCGGTGATTTAGTTGATAACACTATATTGTATAATTGAAATTTGTAAGAGAGTAGAACTTAAGTGTTCTCAGGAAAGAAAAAAAGAAAGAAAGAAAGAAAGAAAGAAAGAAAGAAAGAAAGAAAGAAAGAAAAGAGAGGGAAGGAGAGAGGGAAAAAGGAAGGGAAAGGAAGCAGTGAATTGGATATAAGGTGTTGAACCCCTTGCAGCCTGAACTCTGATTACATCTGAGATAAGCAGGAAACAAACCTTGTTACTGGAATAATTGGATGAGATCATAATAGCACTAAAGGAGTATCTTGCAGCTGTTGATAACTTTTTACACTGAAATTGAATCATCTTGTGAAGATGATGCTGATCAGCCATTTCCTGAGTTTCTTAAGTTTTCTAAACATGGACCAAAGGTCCCAGTCTTCAGATTGCTGGGAGTCTGGCCCTCTTACTTTTTATTATTATTATTATTATTATTATTTATAGTAAGTGGGGGCACTTCAGTGCCTTAGATATGCGGGAGGCGGCTAAGTAGCATTCATAGGCTGGCCTCTGATGTGTAGGCCCTGTGGCTCCTCAGAAGCACCCTCTATCCCTTAGATGCCTTGGGAAAGAGTGTGGGGCAGGGAGGTCTCCACATCCTGGTGAGTCCATGAATCCACAAGCTATTTCATGGCTGCCTACATGAAATCTGCCAAGTCCTCTGCCACAGTTCTCCGGTGAGCTGCTGGGACACTGATGGCTGGTGAGGAGGAAGAAGAATGGAACACTTCCTGAACATCTGTCTCTTAGCAGGCGTCAGATCCCTTCTGCTCTGAGTTTCTCTACTAGGAATAGAGCTTCCCAAGAGGGCCCAGCGCTTACTTGTGTGTTTGGTTGGTCTGGATCTTTTTGATATCTTCTGAATTTGTGCTTGAAAAAATACAGGAAGAAGCATCTTGCTCCTTTTCTGCCCAATCATCCGATCATTTCAGTAAAGCCATGTGAGGATAACCGGCCTGTGGGTACTGTCAGCGCAGCCCCATGGGGCTCCAGTTCCATCCTGCCCATTTCATGGGCTTACATTAAGGTGAGGCCTGTGACTGTGTTAGGCCGGTGGGGGATGTGATATGTGGGTGGGAAACTAAGTCTATAGACTTTCTTCTTGACTTAAAAATGAAGTCCGTGATCTGAGATGGAGTTCAGTGAACATTGCTGACTTGGGTGGAAGAAACCTTCTTAAAAAGATCAGCTAAAATTTATTTCATCTCTTCATTATGCTTCCTTGGAGCTCTCATAGTGACTTTACCATCAGAGAAACTGACATGTCAGATATGTTTTCCAGACAAAGTTCCATGAGTCATATGGATATTCTGGTTACATCATTTGATTTCCTGTTGGATTTGTATAGCCCCTTGCAAGTGAAAAACAGTGCACATACTAATTATTACAGAAGGTTGAAATCCTAGGATAAATTTTAGAAATCTCATTTTGGCTTAGATTTCTTATGAGCCTGGAGGGTAAGATGAAAAAGTAGCAGAAATTTGCTTATCTGCTATTTGATTTTCTCTGGGATTGAGCCTAAGAATGTGGTGGTTTCACCTAAGCTCTTTGCCCTTTAGAATCTGTGGAACTGTAATTCTCTGGGGTAATTAAACTTTGTTAGAGAACAGCTTTCCTTCCTTTGTGTTTCTCCAAAAAAACACTAGGGCCATAGTTTATTTTATACAGCTCTTGTTCAAACTGGCCTGCCTACCTCCTGGGCTAAGACTGTACATTGGACAGGAACACTTGTTCAGTGGCTAATTAGAACAGCCTTCCCAAACTGTCTTCCCTCCTTAAAGGAGGGTGAAACAAGACTCTCAAACTCAGCTGTGCAAATCATGTTGGATGACTCTCTGGGGCTGGCTGTTACTCTTTAACAGTGTGGCATTTATGATTCTTAATGAAAACTTTCTGGGAAGCAGAAACAACAATTCTGTACCCCAGAGACTAAAACCTGCTTTTAAAAATAAAACTTGAGTTATTTTACAGGCAGTAACAACAAAAACAATCATAGTAAAGGTCTGCTTCTTTGCAAACAGAATCTTATTCCCAGGTTCCTTTTGGTCCCTAGATCATGTAAACGTGGGTTATTATGGATGTGTTTGGGTTGGAGATGATTTCCCACATTTAAAAAGTAAATGCCCCCAGGCTGGTTTGGCCATATGCCAGGAGTACCAGACAGAACCTCAGATAACAATGAAGTAAAGTAAATTTAAAAATACCCCTCAGGGGGCGCCTGGGTGGCGCAGTCGGTTAAGCATCCGACTTCAGCCAGGTCACGATCTCGCGGTCCGGGAGTTCGAGCCCCGCGTCAGGCTCTGGGCTGATGGCTCAGAGCCTGGAGCCTGTTTCCGATTCTGTATCTGCCTCTCTCTCTGCCCCTCCCCCGTTCATGCTCTGTCTCTCTCTGTCCAAAAATAAATAAAAACGTGGAAAAAAAAATACCCCTCTGACTTTGACCCCTCTCTTTGTTTCATGCTGTTGTTACTTGCCACCTGGGCATTAGAACTACCTTCTTTCCCTACTGCAGCCCATTGTGGACACTCCCTATAGGACTGCAAGATTCTACAGAAGAGCCAGAATTATCTTATGGTTTCCTTTTGCCTCTACTTCTCAGTCTTACTAGCCTACACAGAATTCTTAGGGGATTTATCCCAAAACACACATTCTTAGGCCCAATCCCAGAGAAAATCAAATTCAGCATATGACTGGGTAGGGCTTTGGCCATCAAGCTTCCAAGTGATTCTGGTGCATGAGTGGAGAGACATGGCTGGCTGAACCAAATCCAAGTTCTTTGTGGCAAAGGTTCCAGGCTTGCAAGAAGTTGTCACAACCCACCAACCTCTATAGTAACCTCCAGACTGCAACCATGTGCCTTTACCTCTACACCTTGGTTTTGGCCATTCTTCTCAGCTGGAGTGTCTTCCCCATTCTTTTTGCTTCACCAAATTCTACCCATTTGTAGATTTCCACTCAAGTACTAACTCTTACTCTGGGAACCCTTCTTTTCCAGCCAGGCAAGATGTGCCCTTTCCTTCCTTTGGACTTTGGTGTCTCTATTTTTTATTTGATGCTTTCTCATTTGCTTTATATTAGTTATGTATTTAATACATATTAATCCCCATCATACATGAGGTATTCTGGGAAGAATATAGGCAATAAAAATTGATGCAGTCTTGATTTTAAGCTCTTTGCTGGTGATGATGTTCACCTGGTATAATCACAGGGATCTAGGAACCACCAGAACAGGGTAAGATCAAGCCTGGCAGTTGTTAAATGTATAAATAACTCTGACTATGGTCAATTGGAAGACAAACCATACCAAATTGATTCAGTGAGGATTTTGGTCAATATCCCATTAGACTCCTGGCAATTATCAAGATAATCTCAAATGCATAAACAAACAAAAACATTCCCAAATGAGTGTAGTCTAAGTTTCTTTTTCCTCTTTAGGTAACATAATAGTCAGCAATCAATTTTGCCTCTGTTACTTTGTTCCGTGTTGTTACTTTGTTATTACTTTGTTATTTTTATAAGAAATACAAAGTTATGTTCAAAGGAGAAAACCAAAAATCATTTCAGCATCAGAGAAGACTGGAAGACATCTTTGTTAGGATTGACACTGGGCTGACTCCCTTTGAGGGTGGGATTTACTTGGGTGTGTCTTTCATTAGTGCCCCTTGGGTTTAACCTGTTCCATGGCTGATGACTCTTTCTCTCTGTTGCAGATGATGGGAGGCAAAGGCCTTAAACAGGCCACAGAAATTGCTATATTAAATGCCAACTACATGGCCAAGCGATTAGAAAAACACTATAGAGTCCTTTTCCGGGGTGCAAGAGGCAAGTATCAACCACAGTCTACTATCACCTTGGTTTTTTTCTTGACCAGGTTTGACCTAGTAAATGTTTTCTGTGGTGGGTAGGAAATTTTCGTTTCTTTGCATATATAAATCATAGTTATTGGAAATAACTTCAATTGAGTGAACAGGTTAGGAGTATCACTATTTGCAAGGCTGTGTGATGCAGTAGCCTACACAGCCCAGGTCAACAAGGAGCCCACAGCATGGGGAGATGTATATATAAATACCATGCACTCTTAACCTCACAAGTGCTATGGGAATGGCTCCAGAAGAGTGGAGTAATTCAGACTGGGCAGAGGAAGTGCAGAATAGTTGGGAGAGCCTTCTGGGAGGAGACACTTGAGATAAGCCTGGAAAGGAGAGTATCAGACCCCAGTAAACAGAAATACTGGAGCAAGAAAGAATTGTGTAGGTGGTGAGAAGCTTGTTGGGGGGTTGTTGAATAGGAGGAAGGAGAGCAGATGAAGGTGAAGTTGGAGAGGCCAACTTGAAGATTTGGAAGGCTCTTGACTTTACCCTTGATGACAGCCATGAAAGGTTTTTTGAGTAGCGGAGTGACAGGATTAAGAGAAGGTTAAACTCATTTCAAAAATGGCAAGGGAAGAAGATCCTATTAGAAGTAGGATCAGTAGGGCTTAGTTACTGATTAATTAAATGTGAAGTGAAATTCTATGTAAGCCTTTTATGCTTATAATAGAGGAACAGCAGAGAGAATAATAGTAGGGGAACCAAGTCATCCTGGAAGTGATAGGAGAGGATGGAGCCAGATAGCTTTGCAGAAATTTGGCTTAGGCACAGAATCTAAGAGCAGACTCTTGGAAATGGTGAAACTCAAGGAAAGAGTTTTGAGAAACCAGAGCAAAGCCCTGCAAGCAGATGGCTACCTTAAGAGGGATGTGGCACCTGGATGGCTCAATTGGTTAAGCGGCCAACTGTTGATGTCAGCTCATGTCATGATCTCACAGTTCATGAGTTTGAGCCCTGTGTCGGCTTCCATGCTGACAGTGTGGAGCCTGCTGGAGATTCTCTCTCCCTCTCTCTCTGCCCCTTCTGCAGTCTCTCTCTCTCTCTCTCTCTCTCAAAATAAATTAAAAAAAAAAAAAAAGGCAGGATGAGCATAGGGGACTCCAGTGAGAGAGGACTCGACTCCCTGCTTGAGGCAGCTGTAGGACCCTGCAGCATTTGTCACAATGCCTCTCCCTAGAGAAGCCCCTGCTTGTCCTGCCTGCCTCTGTTCTGGCCTCACACCTCCTCCCTGAAGCCTCTTTTTCCTGGTGGAGAGAACTTCTCCCTCCTCTTGGCTCCCTCTGCTACTGAGGATTTCTCCCACTCAGTTTATTGTCTGGCTCTGTCCATCAGACCTTGAACTCCTTCAGGGTAAAGACTGTGCCTGCTTCCATTCTCGAGCACCAATCCCTGGCATCATGCCTGCCCCAGTACAAATGTATTGCACAACAGGGAGAGACAGAATGGTGTTCTGATAGGAGTCTTAAAAGAATATTTGCCTGTAACAATTAGCAATCCTTTGGTCACCTTTGAAAGAATTGGAACAAAAATGGTAAGGCAGATGCCAAACCGCAATGAGCTGAGAATGGATTGAGGGTGGGGAGGACAAAGGAGAAGCAGTCATGGTTTGGGGGAGTTTGGTGGTAAAGCAGGGGTACATGTGGAAGCTATTTCAGTAAGATGCAGTTTTGTTTTGAAATCAGTAGAGGATTTAAAACTGCCAGAGAAATGGCTTTGAAGAGGGAAGAGTGAAGCTACAATAGAGGAAATAGTAGATGGGGGAACAAAGTTATACTGGAGGTAATAGGAGGAGATGGCCCTAAGACACACAGCACATTGGCTGTGAGCACAGAATTGGAGATCAGGGACAGATGGGGACTTGGAGCTTGGAGCAGACAGACAGCAGCATGCCCAGACCTGGGCCACAGGATGAGACCTCGCTTTGGCTCTTGATTTCTCCAGCTCAGGCAGAGTATACGTCTACATCTGTCATCTTTAATTTAAAGGCTGGTCTTGCCTTAAAAATATGTATCCAAAGACGTGGTTCTATAGTTTGAAAACAGGAAAGAACTAAATAGCCAGAAGCTCTAAATAACCAGAATGCTCCCTAGAGATTAGGAAAAAAAAATTGTGGGCAATATGTCTCTAAGCAACACAACAAAATGCTTCTGAAGTGGGTATTAACCTACAAGAGCTACTAATTAATTCAAATATAGCTCCTGCTCTGTGAAATGCATCCTGTTATGTATTGGCCTTCAGGATAAGTTTAAGTATTTGTTTTGTCTGATTATATAAGTAATATGTATATGCTCAACATGGAAAATTTGGAAAATTAAAAATCTGAGGAAGAAAATGTAAATGATTCATGGTTTTGGTAAGCAGACATAACCACTATTAATATTTCACTGTATTCCTTCTCATCTTACTTTTAGACCATTGAGCCAGTATTACAGTTTGTGTCCTGTTTTTTAATTTTATCTTATATTGTGATCATTTCCCCATGTCGTTAAGTGTTCTTTGAAAGAGGCTACATTGATTCATTTGTTTGGATATACCAGGATTCCACGAATTCTGTCATGTTTTCCCCTTAGTCATTTGCATCTGTAACATGCTGCAATGGATATCTTTTACTTAGATTTTTTAAAAAAAATCTCTGATTATTTCCTTAGAGCTGCAGAAGAGAAATTATTATCTCAGAGTGTGAATACATTTAAGCTCTTGGTACATGTGCCCTGGTTATCCCCACAGGTGCCAATTTATTTCACTCTCATAGCATATGAAGTGACCATCATGCTGGGGACCAGTGAACACCAAGTGCCAGGCTGGAAAAAAACCCACAAACCGAAACCAAAATATCTTTCCCAATCCGGTGGCTGGAAAATGGTATTTTTGTTTTAATTGACAAGGTTTATAGGTTCCCCCCACCTTGCTTATTATTTTTTAAAGAAAAAAATTTTTAATGTTTATTTTTGAGGGGGGGAGGAGGGACACAGAGAGAGAGAGAGGGAGACACAGAATCTGAAGCAGCTCCAGGCTCTGAGCTGTCAGCACAGAGCCCAATGTGGGGCTTGGACTCATGAACTGTGAGATCATGACCTGAGCTGAAGTCAGACACTTAAATAACTGAGCCACCAGGGGCCCCATGTTTATTATTTTTAAATGTAGTTGAAACTTCCTTGTGATTAACTTAATTTGATAATTTCATTGAGACAATTCACATATCACACAAATCACCCACTTTAAATGTACAACTCACTGATTTTTAGTATGTTCACAGACTTGTGTAAATGCAAACTTTCATTTTTAAAGAGTCCATGTGATCTGGACTACATGGGGATTGGTGGCAATCCAGGAGAGAGGAAAGTGAACAAAGTAAGTGTTTCTCAGGTGCTTAGTGCTTAGTGCTAAACTAAACTAAACACGTGCTTAGTGTTTGAGTGACTGCTTTAAAAACAGCGACTGTCTCAGTCCTAGGGGATTTGCAGCACAAAATGATAGATCCAGTTTCCGTTTGTTTTGACATTTTATCCCAGAATCAAATAATGAATTGTATTTCTCATCCCACACAGAGATGTATTGGTAATTACAGACCTTGTCACCTAATCCAAAAGTTCATGAAATCAAAAATTGTCTCATATTTGGTCTGGTAAACACATTTATTCTCGGACCTAAAGAAGAATTATCATTGTACCTCCTGAGGGCCCAAAATAGAAATGTTCTTAATAAGCACAATGTATTCCAAAATGTCTAATGGCAATATTAGAAGATTATTATTCATCTTAATCATATTTACTAGCTCTATATAAGACATTGTAATTACAGATGAATATGAGGCAATAATTTTAATGAACTCCAGTCTTCCCTTTATGAACCATTTCTTTGAGAGATTTGAAAACCCCAGCTGAACTGTTGAGGTTTAGGGTTTTGTGAAGCAAGGGAGTGACAGGCAAGAATTGGGAAGGGAAAAGCAGTAGTATTTAGGATGAGGAAGGAAAGGAATTACCTCAGGTAAGATAGTATATTTTTATTTATTTTTTTATTTGTTTATTTTTAAAACATTTTTTAATGTTTATTTATTATTGAGAGACAAGAGCATGAGCATGGGAGGGACAGAGAGAGAGGAGGAGACACAAAACCCGAAGCAGCCTCCAGGCTCTGAGCTGTTAGCACAGAGCCTGACGTGGGGCTTGAACTCACAGACTGTGAGATCATGACCTGAGCCGAAGTCTGACGCTTAAACGACTGAGCCACACAGGCGCCCCAAGATAGTACATTTTTAAAGGAGGAATTTAAAAAATTCACAGCTGTCTACTCATGTGGGAGGCTAAACTCACTGATGAAAATGGAGTTCCTTTTAGTGGAGGCGGCAACTTTGTTACTATCCCAATGTTTCATTTATGTTTTAATTTTTTCAGTGCCTATCCCCTTATGGCCTCAGACAAACCTAATGCTGCCTGGAAATTTCTGTTATGAGTTGGTTTCCCAGTGGCCTTTACCAGCAGACATGGACTTCATGGAATGGTCTTTCATGTCCCAGGCAAGGAAGTGAGCCTCCTGAGGCCAGAGGCTCTGCCTAGCCAACCTCATTCCCATGGAAACATTGTTTTGATTCTATTAGTTATGGTCTCTGGATTGCAACTGAAAAGCTTGACTAAGCATTGATTGCTCACCTAAGCCTTAAAGAGTAATTAGCTAGTGAGTTCCACATATCTCTAGGTAGTCATTCTGAGGATAGGAGTTGGAGGAAAGGTGTTCCAAATTTAGAGCCACGCCACTTTTATTTTGTTTTTTTGTCACCCCCTCCCTCTTCTCCCTGTTCCTTTGACTTGGTATCTTTTCAGACTCTCAGCTATAGCCATGGTTAGGCCCAGGAGAAATACCTACTCAGTGAAAATTAAACCTTGTGCTGATCAGTGTATACAATTACTACTTCAGATTGCCCTGACTTACCACATACCACAGAAGGTTTGTGTACCTCTTCTCCTTAAAAACTACAAACACAGATGAACATCTTGGGATTTAGCCTCCAACAGCCACCAAGTTTCAATTTCATCCCTTTCAGAGCTCAGAGAGATATGCTAAAATTCTACCGTTTCCATTTGAACACATTAGAATATGGATTTAGAAAATAACATCTGAACCTCATTTCAGAAATGGAGCTCTTCCCAAACCGCCTGGTTGTGGTGGGGACACTGCAGATGTAGTCTTTGTGTTAGTGCTGGGCTGGGCTCCGCGTGATGGGGCCTTTCAGCTGTTACTGAACTTCTTGGAAGACAGCCCTCTGCCTGCCAGCAACAGTGACTTTCCTTTTCCTCCATGATGTGTCCCTCCCCTCTTCATCTCCTGCCCACTGAGTGCCCTTTAGAGCAGTGAACTTCATTACCCTTCTTTCTTGTGTCACTGTCACAGCGCCGGGTGGCTGCCAGAGGCTCAGAGAAGAAAGGTCAAAGGTTGAGGCTGGGCTCCCAAAATGGGGTGTGGATAATTGGGTATTTAGGATTCCTGCACTTAAATGATCTCCACCGCCTCCCCACCCCCACCCCACCCTCACCCCTGAACATTCCAACTGGGCATTCCTTTTAAGCACTTTTTGCCCCTGACTTTACCTAGCTATGAATATAACATCCCACTTTTGAATCACACTCCTCACAAATTTAATTTCCATCATTGTTAGAATATTTTATAATATTCAGTGACAGTATATTTAAAGCTTGAGGCTCTCATACTTTATTTTCTCACAAAATCAGTCCTTTCTTATTTATTCATTACATAAGAAGCAGAGCAGTTATGGATGATTTCAGAAGCTGTTTAGTGACTGGAGCAACTCTTCTCAGGCTTGAGGAATTATCTGCTCCATGTATCTGTAAGTAGATTCCTTGTTTGCTGAAAGGAAAGTAGGTTAGGAAGTAATACATTATTGTCTCATCTACAGATACTTTCCTAGAAGGAAATTCATCAGATTTGGAGCCACAGAATTTGGGAAGCCCCCAGAACTGTTGTTCTATATTAATGAAAATGCTGACTTCATTGATGGTTTATTCCTGCTGATGGGTCAAACAGGTTGTGCTGGGGAGATTGTGACCCGGGCCTAGAGAGGAAACCAGCTTACAAACTAGAGCAAAGTGAACTGACTCCCACAGACTTTGGTTTCATCTTCTTGCCACCTGTGGTGTGCTGTTTGACAGCCCCGATTTCTAATAATCAGCCTGAAGCCTGAAACCAAACCCTCAAAAGCCCCTCTGAAGAATCTCATACAATTATGTATGTGCCTTAGAGATACATGTTCTGTATATAATTACATTCACACAGATGAAACAGTTATTTGATGCTGGGGCAGAGTTATGGAGAATGGTATCAATGGACCTTTGGCTCTAGAGATATTTTGTATAAAAGGGTCAGGCCTGTGTGATGACATGTTTAACTATTGCAAATAGATTTTATATCATCAGAGTTGAAAGAATCTCATCCCCAGGAATCTCAGTCAAATGTTCCAGCAATGCACTGGCACCAAAGTTCCACCTCCCATCAGCCTCTTGCCTTGTGTGTGTTGTGCACTAAGGACTGAACACATTGGCTTGACATGTTAAAATTTTATTTTTATAATCACTTTTATATTTTATAATTATTTTTTACATAATTTTTTAAGTTTATTTATTTTGAGAGAGAGGTTGAGAGAGAGAGTGTGTGTGTGCAGGGGAGGGGCAGAGAAAGGGAGACAGAATCCCAAGTAGGCAGCACAGTGCCCAATGTGGGGCTCAAACTCACAAATGGTGAGATCATGACCTGAGCTGAAGTTGGATGCTGAACAGACTAAGCCACGCTGGTGCCCCTATAATTATAGTTATTAATAAAAGTAAATGAGGTCTTTGTTGCCACCTATAAACTTCCAAGTTACCATGGCATCTTGGGCCTTGTTGATATGCATTACAAAGCTGATTTGTACATTTGCTTGGGCAAAACAAGCTGATGGTAATCTTGAACTGAAACAATTTCCCACAGGTTATGTGGCTCATGAATTTATTTTGGACACAAGACCTTTCAAAAAGTCAGCAAATATTGAGGCTGTGGATGTGGCCAAGAGGCTTCAGGATTATGGTGAGTGATCCTCTGGGAAAAAACCCTCATAGGGCATCTAAGGTTTTTGACATTCATGCTAGCTATGGGCGACTTCCTCAAGCCACAAAACAAACATGCAGGCACCACTATAAACTGGTCCGTAGGATAAATGGTGAGCACAGGATTCTGGGTAAACTTCAAAGTGATAGAGAAAAAACGTGCCCTATGACTGCATTGGTACTACCCTTCAAAAGATATTAAATCAGCATCTTGAATCCATTGGCATTCAAGAAAAGTCTTTATAGTTAAAAGAATTTAAAATCCCAAAGAAAATGGTTTTTGTTCCCTAGTTTCTTTCTTTTTTTTCATTTTAATTTTTAAATTTTAATTTATATTTGTTTCAGGTGTACAATATAGTGATTCAACACTTACATACATACTCAATGTCCATCATGATAAGTGTACTCTCTAATCCCCATGACCCATTTCACTCATCCCCCCCACCCATCTCCCTTCTGGTATCCATTACTTTGTTCTCTCTAGTTAAGAGTCTGTTTCTTTGCCTTTCTCTTTTTTTACCCCATTTGTTCATTTGTGTTCATTTCTCAAGTTCCACATATGAGTGAAATCATATGGTAATTGTCTTTCTCTAATTTATTTTGCTTAGCATTATACTCTCTAGTTTCATCCATGTTATTGCAAATGGCAAGATTTCACTATTTTTATGGCTGATATTCCACTGTGCATGTATGTGTGTATATAATATATATGCCATCTTCTTCATCCGTTTATCAGTTGGTAGACCTTTGGGCTCTTGCCATAATTTGGCCATTGTTGATACTGCTGCTGTAAACATCGGGGTGCATGTATCTCGTTGCATCAGTATTTTTGTATTCTTTGGGTAAATACTTAGTAGTGCAATTGCTGGATCATAGGGATAGAGTAGTTCTATTTTTAACTTTTTTTTTACATTTTTTTTTAACGTTTACTTATTTTTGAGACAGAGAGAATGAATGGGGGAGGGTCAGAGAGAGAGGGAGACACAGAATCCGAAACAGGCTCCAGGCTCTGAGCTGTCAGCACAGAGCTCGACACGGGGCTCGAACTCACGGACCGTGAGATCATGACCTGAGCTGAAGTCGGACGCTTAACCAACTGAGCCACCCAGGCGCCCCTCTATTTTTAACTTTTTGAAGAACCTCCATACTGTTATCAGAGTGACTGCCCTATTTTGCATTACCACCATCAGCTACCATCAGTGCAAGAGGATTCCTTTTTATCCACATCCTCTCGAACACTTGTTTCTTGTGCCTTTGATTTATGTCATTCTGACAGGTGTTTGTTAATATTGTGCAGTTTTTTTTTTAAGTATATCTATTTTGAGAGAGAGAGAGAGAGAGTGTGCATGAGCATTAGCTGGAGAGGGGCAGAGAGAGAGAGGGAGAGAATCTCAAGCAAGTTCTGTGCTGTCAGTGCAGAGCCTGAAGTGGGGATCGATTCCATGAACCTGTGGGATCATGACCTGAGCTGAAACCAAGAGTCTGGACACTTAAACAACTGAGCCACCCAGGCACCCCTCTTGTAGTTTTGATTTGCATTTCTCTGATGAGTTATGTTAAGCATCCTTTCATGTGTCTGTTGGCCATTTGCGTGTCTTCTTTGGAGAAATGTCTCTTCATGTCTTCGGCTCATTTTTAATTGGATTTGGGGATTTTTGGTGTTGAGTTGTATTGCCTATGTTTCTATTAAATTCTTATTCCTATCCCATTTCTGGTAAAGAAAGGAGTCCATGAAGAGGTGAGTTGGTGTAATGATGAAGGTTCAGGTAAACTGCTGAAGTGTTAGAGAGGAATGGCATTTGAGCTTTATAGCTGTTTCAGCTTCTACAGCTTCTATAGCTGCTTCCATAGATGAAGGAATAGGCACATGCTAGTTCCATAAAGACTGTATTTTCTTGGAAGACTTGAAAGACAGGCCTTTAATGAATTAGTGGATGTTCATTAAGCACAGACCTTATTGAAATACCTATTTTTAGTGACATTATTAATAATATCAACGACCCCTCAATTTTTAGAAAGGCAGAGATGGTGAGAAGTTTGCCTTTCAATGGATGTGGAGTCCTATCTGAATTTTAATAACTGGAATAACTTCTTTTAGTAAGGAAAGTGAAAGCTTCAGTAATTTAATAGTTTTACTACTGCATCATATTGGGAATCCCACATGTGTGATTCATTCCTCTCTTGAATGCATGATCTTATTATGTAGAGTTATACTGATTATAAATGGGAAAGCCAGAGAAAGTTTTCATTAATGAAATTAGCAATCACCTCTCCAAAATCTCTTGGTTGCTCCTGTAACCTGACTAGGCTTCCTGGCTGATGGCAGATTCAGGCAGGATATACCTTCACTTCTGGGATGTGTTGTCTGTATCACATATCTGACTGCAGTAGCAGCATTTGCAGGGAGGGAGAGCACTGGCTAGGAGGTTATTTTGATGTTTGATAGAGTGAATGCCACACTTGCCCTAAGCCTAGAATTGTACAGGTGGCTAGCACTTAGTACCTCAAAACATATGTGTCTAATAAGTGAGAGAATGAATGGATGAATGAATGAATGGCTAAGTAAAAAAACAGCAATCGAGAATAACAGATTCTGGGTCTTAATCACATGTACTTAATTAAAATCTCCAGGGGAGGGGCCTAGTAATCAGTATTTTTAAACAGCCAAATGTGGGGCATAATGCCTTTGGGCAGAGGCATCCAGACTTAGCGAGTAATGAGTCACCTGGGGGAGTTTTAAGACTCATGTTTTTGAGACTTACCTTGGGCTTCCTGAATCAGGGTCAGGACCAAAGAATCTGTGTTCCCAAGATAACTCTGATGGTTCTGGTTATGGGAACCACTACAACAGTGTATGTTGGGCTGAATTTGCTCACCCATGAAATTGAGGTTGGACTTCATAGGTAGAGATTAGCTTTTAAAATCCCTTTCTGATTTGAGTGATACTATTCTATGTATTTGTCAAAACTTAGTAAGTGATAAACTTAAGATTTGTGCATTTTACTGTATGTAAATTTTATCACAAATACACATAAACAGATATTGAATTCTAGTTAATGATATGCATCCTGAAGTATTTAAGGGAGAAGTATACTGATGACTGAAGCATTCTTAGAATTGAATCAAAAATAAGATGGATGAATGAATGAACAGATGTGATTAAGCAAAGAGAGCATCATTGTTGAATGCAGGTGAAAGGGGTGTTCACTTTACAGTCCTTTCAACTTACCATTTGAAAATGTTTGTAACATGTTGAGGAGATAATCCCTTAAAGCATGCAGGCATGACCCTAAAGCACTCCATGTAATTATGCAAATCAGAATTGGGGAACCATTTAAATGTCTTCGTCTTTTACAGTTTCACAGAAAAAGAGCCAGAAATGGGAAAATGTTTTTGGCTTTTGTCCAGAAAATCTCTCTTGAGTATGTCTTGGTGATTCATCTTACATATGAAAGCTTTTGTAAATAGAAACACCTTCAGCCTATGTTCTGAATAAAGGCAAAGGGTCTCCATGTACTGCCAAACCTCAGTTTCCTCATCTGTAAAATGGGGTTAGTAGGCTTCTTATGGTTGCTATCACTTTATTTAACTTTTGATAGGCTATAATATTTTAATTTCTCTTATTGTAATAAATAAGCATTATAGTATGATTCTAATAAAAAATCAAAGAATCTCAGCTTCATATTAGCAATAAGCCCTGTTAATATTTTAGTACTTATTTTTCAAGGTGTCTTCCCTCAAAATATAAACACTTTCGGTGCCTGGGTGGCTGAGTTGGTTAAGTGTCTGACTTCAGCTCAGGTTATGATTTCATGGTTTGTGAGTTTGAGCCCCGAATCGAGCTCACTAGTGTCAGGAGTATCAGTGCGGAACCTGCTTTGGATCCTCTGTCCCCTCCCCCTACCCTGCTCATGCTTTATATCTCAAAAATAAACATTAAATAAAAAAGTAAAATATTAAAAAATATATAAACACTATCATTTTCATAAAAATGGGATGTCATTATGTAACTTGCCCTTTTATATTTTTTATTGCTTACCCAATTTAACAAATAAAAATTTACATACATTTGTATGGTTGCATATTTATTATGGATACTCTCTAAAACTTGCTTAACTGATTGTTTCTTCTTGGGTGTTAGTTTATTTCCTAAGTTCTTCTTGCTGAGATGAATATATATATGAAATTTCTTCCAAATCAGGGAGATCAGGGGTGCCTGGGTTGCTCAGTTGGTTAAACGTCTGACTTTGGCTCAGGTCATGATCTCATGGTCTGTGAGTTCAAGCCCTGCATTGGGCTCTGTGCTGACAGCTTGGAGCCTCGAACCTGCTTCAGATTCTGTATCTCCCTCTTCCGCTGCCCCTTCCCCGCTCGCACCCTGTGTCTCTCTCTCAATAATAAATAGGCATTTTAAAATTTTTTTTTTTCAACGTTTATTTATTTTTGGGACAGAGAGAGACAGAGCATGAACGGGGGAGGGGCAGAGAGAGAGAGACACAGAATCGGAAACAGGCTCCAGGCTCTGAGCCATCAGCCCAGAGCCTGACGCGGGGCTCGAACTCACGGACCGCGAGATCGTGACCTGGCTGAAGTCGGACGCTTAACCGACTGCGCCACCCAGGCGCCCCATAAATAGACATTTTAAAAAATTACAAATCAGGGAGGTCAAAGTTAGTGACACAAGTTCCCCTATCTCCTTTGCAGGATTTCATGCCCCTACCATGTCCTGGCCGGTGGCAGGAACTCTCATGGTTGAGCCCACTGAGTCAGAAGACAAGAAAGAGCTGGATAGATTCTGTGATGCCATGATCAGCATTCGGCAGGAGATCGCTGACATTGAGGAGGGCCGCATTGACCCCAGGGTCAATCCACTGAAGGTGCGTAGGCATTGGTACTTGATCCAAAATGTTCCATAGAGTATAAGAGTGCGTATGTACAGTGTACCAGCAACCCCTGAACTCCCATCAGAAGATATTTATTCTTGCCTAGAATAAGACCATTCTTCTGAAAGGATGATAAATTCATTACTTGCAGGTTTGAATCTTGAACAACACAGTAACAGTTAAGTATAATGTGGATGTTTTGAGATATGTTTTGTTTAATTGTTTTGTCACTGTGAGAAGTATACCTCCCACATGCATCCAACTGGTTACCAAGGGAGGGAGCAGGGGCTGAAGAGCTCTTATCTAGTTGGGGTAGTTTTATTCTTGTGTCTCTATTTAATGCACTCTAGTGAGATTATTTACCTCACAAACTCTGGATAAAGACAAGTTCTACTAGAGCAATTATTGCTTAGAACAACTGATTGGTACTTGGCCTGAATGTTTTTTAATGCTTATGGCCTATTTTGGAGAAAATCTGAAACATGTTTATTGTATATTTGCTTCTGAGCTGTAAGTCTTTTGTTAGCTCCAGACATTAATCTGGGTTGGGGGCCAGAGGGAGATAATGAATTGGGAATATTGTGAAGGTTGTGGCTGTGCTACTATGGCCTTGAGCCAGAGAACAAGTCTGAGATGCCTGGGGAAGCTCAGGCAAGTTCCAAAAGTGCGCACCTGAAGGTGCACCACAGGGGCCAATGACTGGCAGGAGAAGGCATCTTGCTCATTATTATTTCTCTTTTCTGTGGATACTGAAAAGAGATTATAAGGATTTAGGCTAATTTTAAAAATGGCAATAGACATTTAAAGGACATAATACAGAGCTATAAAAGCAAGTGGAGAATAATACTCGTAAAATGATAAAAGATTTTAAAATGTGCCCGACTATGCTATATGCTGTTTATACATATATGCCGTAATAGTATAAAATCACAATGAGCATGGTGAATACAAAATTCAGGACAGTGGTTATCACTGGGAATAGGGTAAGAGATGAGCTGGAGGAGTTATAAAGTCAGTTTCAATTGTCTCTTCAATGTTTATTTATTTAAAAAAAAAAAAATGTTTGAGAGGGCGTGCATACACATGCAAGTGGGGGAGAGGCAGAGAGAATTCCAAGCAGGTTCCGTGCCGTCAGCACAGAGCTCAATCTCATGAACTGTGAGATCTGAACCGAAATCAAGAGTTGGACACTTTTGTGTCCCCTGTGTGAATGTGCCACACAGGTGCCCCCAATGTTTATTTTAAAGGGTTAAGCAAATATGATAAAATGTTGACTTATACTGGGTGGTAGATGTGCTTAATATATTACCATGACTTTCTGACATTTGAAATATTTCAGAATAAATTTCCCATCAATTTTTTCCCCCTCAAATTGAAATAAAACCAACCAGCAGCCCCATACCTGGGCTTCTGTCAGCTCACTGGTTGAAGCAAAGCACAGCAGAAGGCAGTGTTCTGCTCTGATCCCTTTCCCATCTGTGTGTCTCAGATGTCTCCACATTCCCTGACCTGCGTCACATCCTCCCACTGGGATCGGCCATATTCCAGAGAGGTGGCGGCATTCCCACTTGTAAGTTGTCTTCTGAAGCCGAGTGTGCCAGCTGGTATACCGTCCACGTGCGTATGAGGGGCCATCACCTATCTGATGGGACTCCTATCCTTGCAGTGTCATTACAGTTACCATATGTGGGACACTTTCTTAAATGGGTCGTGACAAGTGATGCAGAGCACAGGAATTGGCTTTCAGAGCTCTGAGGTTAGAGTGTCAGCCACAGGCCTGAGGATCCACAGGGAATACAGTGGAGAAAGACCAAATAGGAGTCGCTGTCAAATGGGTTAAGGTATTTTCTACTATCATCCAAAGGGAGATATCCCCAAATGCAATTTTTCTTCCTTTCTGATTCTTACACGAAAAGGTGCTCTGCAGTCTCTCTGGCAGTGTGGGGACAAGGGTCAAAAGTTGGATTTGGGGGGACAGTAATGAAGGGGTGACTTAGCTTTTTTGTTGGACTGGTGTATAGTTGACACACAATGTAGTATTAGTTTCAGATGTACCACATAGTGATCTGAAAAGTCTATACATTATGCTATGCTCACCACAAGCATAGCCACCATCTGTCACTGGAAAAATGCTATTACGATAGCATTGACTATATTCCCTATGCTGTACCTTTTATACCCTTGAATTACTCATTCCATATCTGGAAGCCTGTTCCCCCCCACTCCTCTTCACCCATTTTGCCCATTCTGCCTGTCCCCCTCTGGCAACCATCAGTTTTCTGTATTTATGGGCCTGTTTCTGCTTTTGTTTTGTTTTCTGATACCACACATAAGTGAAATCATATGGCATTTGTCTTCCTACTTAGCACAATACCCTCTAGGTCCATCTATGTTGTTGTAAATGGCAAGATCTCACTCTTTTTCATAGCTGGTCAATATTCCTATGTGAGTATGTGCACACATGTGTGTATACACACACACACGCACATACATACATATCTTCTTTCATCTACTGATGGACACTTGGATTGCTTCCATATTTTGGCTACTGTAACTAATGATGCAGTAAAAATAGGAGTGTGGGTTTTACCTTCTTATGCTTTTAAACATTTGTGGTTTAGTGGCATCTTAGCCTGTAGGGACATCATTGCAATCTCTTTCTGCAAGAGAAATGTTTCAGAATACCCAGGACATTTCCATCTTTTGTCCCTTGCAGCCCTTTGTGAAACCAGAGAGCAAATTCTGGCCAACCATTGCCCGGATTGATGACATCTATGGAGATCAGCACCTGGTTTGTACCTGTCCACCCATGGAAGTTTATGAGTCCCCATTTTCTGAGGAGAAAAGGGCCTCTTCTTAGTCCTATTTCCCTAAGTTCATGTGACTGACTTGATGTCTTTCTCTGAAGCATTTGATGAACAAGAACTCTAGAATTTTCCACACTGGACTCACCATGGGGTTATACACTGTATATTTTTGTAATCTCTGTCAACGTAAATGTAAATACAATTAGCATAGTAGCGTATGGAAGCTCAGTGTTGAAAGACTGGTTTGCTTCAGTGCCTGCTTTCACATGTAGCAGTTGATAGTTAAAGTTGCTTTGATTGGGAGCCATTTAGTTTTTTGCATAGAAAATTTTGGGTGTGCTAGGAGCTTTAAGTTTAATGTTGGAAACATTGTAGAGGCTATAGTGTAGACTACTTGATAGAATCTTGTTCCAAATAAGTCTCTGTGGACTGTGCCATCTGTGAGGAATCCCAGGGCAAATGTTTACATATTGCATACACTGAAGAAATTTTCTCTAATTTGCCTAATCTGTAATAGCATTTCTGAGTATTTTCCTTTTTCCATGTGTATGGTTTTCTTCTATCTTCCATTATTAGTATTCTAATAAAAGCATTTCAATTTGAAGAATGTCTTCTTGGTCCATTTTTCAATGTTATTCCCATTTATACTAAGTTCAGAGGGATTTGAATGGCAAGAAGATCCAACCCAATAGCCATTTTTTTTTTTACATTAGCAGTTTTGTCTAGCAACTTTTCTCATTTAACAATAAGTCCAGACAGAGTAAGTCCAGGTGTAGTGTCCCTTCAGTCCTTTGTTCAGCCTTCCTTTGTAGGCAGTCTTCATCCTCATGGTCTTAAGATGGCTGCTGCATATTGACATCACATACCCATTTTCATAGGAAAAGGGGAGAAAAACCAAAAACAAGAGGCAGATTTCACCCAGTAATTGTTGCTTGCTTTTAACTGGCCAGAAATGGTTCATATTGCTACTTCTACCTGCAAAGGAGTATGGGGAGGTCTTTTCCCTGGGTATGTTAGTGCCCCAAAGAAAATCAGTTTATTAGCTAAATAAAAGGGGGCAAGTGGGTTTCAGATAGGCAACTAGCATGCTTGGCACAAAATAACTTTTCCCTAGAAATAGCAAATGCTTCAGATGTTCTTCCCTATTAGTAAGCACTGTTCAATTCCTGACCACTTGGTTCTTTGCATGGCAGCTTGATCACACAACTATTATTCAAACTATTATGATAGTCATGTGTAGAAAGGTCTTAGTGCTCTTTTGAATGCTCTGTAGATGGTCCACTTATTCTCACACTTAAAACGTTTACAGAACAATTTATTTTAGCCTAACTAAGCAATAGAGTAGTGATGGGATCCATTATTTCTTTTTTACACTATAATTAAATGGTTAATACTGAGTTCTTCTCTGGAGTCAGGTACTATTCTAAGTCTTTAAGATATATTATCTCATTGGAACCTCAAAACAGTCCGCTTTTACACATGGGGGGTGGGGGGGTGGGGGGGGTGAGTGGGTGGGTATGGAGAGATGCCCAAAGTCATATAGTTAATGAGAGGGATAAGCCAGAATTTGAACCCAGACTGCACAACTCCAGTGGCAGCTGGTCAAAACAGGCTACCACACCACTATGGTCACTTTATACCTGGAGATTTTGCCCTTCCTGAGTTGGAAACCAGGGTCTCAACACAGACTATCCATCAGGTTATGGAGTAGCCTCTTTGAAGAAAAGACAAGCACATAAAAACAAATCATACAGGTGAACAGCAGCTCTTCATCAGACTGTAAAGTATATCAGAAGCAAATACACGTGATTAAAAGTTGAAACTGCTCTGGGGTGCCTGGGTGGCTCAGTCGGTTAAACACCCAACCCGGGTCATGATCTCACTGCTCTGAGAGCCCTGCATCAGGCTCAGCATGAAGCCAGCTAGGGATCTTGGAGCCTGCTTAGGATTCTCTCCCTTTGGCTCTGCCCCTCCTCTGCCCGTGCTAAGGAAATAAATCAAACTAAAAAAAAAGTTGAAATTTTCCTTCACTATTAAGTCACTCATGTTTACCTGATGCTTACGCCCATCTTTCCCACCTCTGGGTCTTTGCCCAGGTGGTATCCACCTGGAGCACTCTTCCCTACTAACTTTGCTTTACTGGATTTTGTTTTAGCATCTCCTCAAGAAGGTCTTCCACTCATGTCTGTGAAATGTGCTATTGGTATTTTTTTTGAAAAAAAAAATTTTTTTTTGAGGGAGGAAGAGAACGTGAGTGGTGGGTAGGGCAGAGAGAGGGAAAGAGAATCCCAAGCAGGCTGCATACTGAGCTGGATGCAGGGCTCGAACTCATGAACCAGGAGATTAAGACCTGAGATGCAATCAAGTCTGTTGCTTAACCGACTGAGCCACTCAGGTGCCCCTGTGCTATTTTGTATCTGCACCTAGCTTGTTTTCCTTTAGCCTTAGCACAATTAGTAATTATTCTGTTTACTTGTTTTTCTTCTGCCTCACCAGACTAAGTTCCCTGAGAACAGGGACCATATCTCATTCATCATTGGATTTCCAGTGCTGACCCAGGGTCTTCCACATAGTAGATGTTCAACAGAAAGAAATATGAACTGATGAAAGAAATGATCCTTTATCTTAAAGAGAGACACTGTTGGGGCGCCTGGGTGGCGCAGTCGGTTAAGCGTCCGACTTCAGCCAGGTCACGATCTCGCAGTCCGTGAGTTCGAGCCCCGCGTCAGGCTCTGGGCTGATGGCTCAGAGCCTGGAGCCTGTTTCTGATTCTGTGTCTCCCTCTCTCTCTGCCCCTCCCCCACTCATGCTCTGTCTCTCTCTGTGTCAAAAATAAATAAAGATTAAAAAACAAAGTTTAAAAAAAAAAAAAGAGAGACACTGTCATGGAAACCAGTATTTCCAATGCCTGCTGTTAGGAGATGGTAAAGTACAAAATGCCAGGCCTTAAAGACAAGGCCTTTGGACAGGCTTTGTATATATAGGATGTCTGCCTCTTTTTTTCTATGGTATACATAAAATTTATTCAATTCAGTAGCATTAAGTACGTAGTAAATGTGCAAAATGTGCCTTTTGAGCAGTTTTGAAGACAGGATCTGAGGTAGACATGCACATACTTCATATAAATGGGGTACTCCCTCTGCCTTCTCCCAGCCCTTAGTCTGTGGCCTTGAAGCTGTGTATGATAAAGAGCAAGGGCCCTGGCCCAGTCTGGAAACCCTATGAAATCTTTAGATAAATACAGGGCCAAATTTTTCAATGACCAAACTGGTGCCTATCATCCAAATAAAGGACGTAGCACCACTTTTGGGTGCAAGAAGCCATCTGAGACAAGTAGTTTGGAAGCTGAGATGTTAGTGCTTTTAGAGGTTTACAAGGCTATGGGACATAATGTTTTGGGTCCTTAATTGGCCAAGGTCAGGGATGTGTGCTAGGGCAGTGGTTTTCAAACTGTGTGTATAGATCACTAGGAGGGGTTGTTGGGCCCTGGCCTCAGAGTTTGATACAGGTGTTAGGCAGGGCCAGAGAATTTGCATTTCTTTAAAAAAATTTTTTTTTCTTAACGTTTATTTATTTTTGAGACAGAGACAGACAGAGCATGAACGGGGGAGGGTCAGAGAGAGAGAGGGAGACACAGAATCTGAAACAGGCTCCAGGCTCTGAGCTGTCAGCACAGAGCCCGACGCGGGGCTCGAACTCACGGACCACGAGATCATGACCTGAGCTGAAGTCGGCCGCTTAACCCACTGAGCCACCCAGGCGCCCTGAGAATTTGCATTTCTAATGAGTTTCAGGTATTACTTCTCAGCTTCCTTTGTTCACATTTCAGCCTTTAAAGGATGGGTTTTGGGAGGCTGAAAGTGGGTGAGAGGTTGGACTTAGCTTTGTATTTTTTATGCAAATCTTAGCATTTTGAAAAAAATCCCTCTTTGCCTTGCTTTCACTGAGAATCCTATGGCTGGAGAAGGCTGTCCAGGAGTGGAAGCAATCAGCACTTTGGCCATGCTTTCTGATCTGGTAGGCTTCCTCCTACCAGCAGTGCATGAAGGAAATTTTTTTTTAGATCAAAATGTCAGTTTTATTGCTAATAAAGCTGATTTGAAAAAATAGTGTTTTACTTGCGATTAGGAGGGCTTCCTCTCCATTTCTGCCCCTCTCATGCTTCACCGATCTAAGCCTGGGACATCCACTCAAGGAAGAAGTTTGAGTCTGTTGAGCAGATGCACCAGTGCAGAATTGCTGCCTCATGAGGATCACAGGGGAACAAAAGATAAAAAGGGTGGTTTCCCCAGTGGTAGTGCAGTGACATGGATGAATGAATGTCATCCATCACCTTCTCTATGGAGAGTAGTGAGGAGTAGGCCAGGAGGGAGAAGTGTAACATTACCTGAGGTCATTCCATGAAGAAAACAAAGTCCAGGAAGCAGGAGTTAGTGCCCAACACAGAGTACACTACTCTTGTAAATCTGATGAATTTCTTGCTGGCAATTAGAGTACTTGCTCTGGAGTCATAAGCCTGGAGTCATATCCCAGCTCTCCTGTATGACTGTATGACTCTGGAAAAGATAACTGGCATCTCTCAGCTCTAGTCTCCTTACGTAGAAAACATTATCTATCACTCTTGGGTGAGGTTTCAATACATTGAAACACTGCCTGACACCAAGTACTTGTAAGTGTTAGCTCTTATTTTCAGAGCTTCACTTAGGGTCTTGTGTCCTGTACTGCACATCCCTGCACTCCCTGCTCTAGGAGTGGAGCCCCAACCGCAATTGGACCCACCTTGCATTCGGATCCATATCCTTTCCTTTTCTCTACATTCCTAAGTGCCCCTTTCCTATAAATGGCTCCCAGAGAATATACGAGGAACACAGGCTGTGACTTGGTAAGATGTAGGTTAAATTCCTAGATATGCCAACTGTTTTGAGACATTAGGCAAATTCACTTACCCTTTCTGCACTTCAGTTAAGGTCAAATAGCAATAATAAAGTACTTACCTAAATCAGGCCTATTGTAAGGATTAAATGAAATAACACAAAGTGATCACTTAGCATAA